TGCTTCTTTCTCACAAGCCGCTTGGCCTTCACGACCTTCTTCTCCGTCCGCACCACCTGCATCAGCTGGCGATTGTAGCCCATCGTCACTGGACCACCATCCGCTGGCTTCCGCTCGGGCTTCCGGGCCTTCTTCTTCGAGGTGGGCGCGACAAACAAATGTGGATTCAGAAAAGTAGGGTCCACAGTGTCCGCCTCGGCTTCCTCGGCTGCTGCAGCCTCCTTCAAGGCCTTCGTGGCCTTCTTTGCCGCACCACGGACCTCCTTCAAGGCCTTCGTGGCTTCCTTTGTCGCACGAGATGCCCGCTTCTTCTTGCGCTTGGGCACTTTCTCGACGGCTTTCTCTGCAGCATCCAGGGCCTCGGCAACGTCCGTGGCCACACCAGACTCGGGGCGCCATTTGCCCCAGCCTTCTTCCTCTTCTTCCTCCAGCTTTGACGGCAGCGGTGATTTCTGCTGTGGCGATTTTGGCTGTGAAGGCACTGCCATTTTGTGCCACTCGCGAGAAATTTTGGTGAGCTCGTCGTGCTCCTCCATCATTTGCCGCTCGCTTTCCTCTCGAGCCGTGCTTTCTATCACCGATGCGACCGTCACCATATCGGATCGTCGGGCAGACGCAGCGCTCTTCATAGCGGTGAGATCCGCCATCCTCTGAGCCATAATTGCCGCCTGCGACGACCTTTCTTCCTCGTCCGTCGAGGATACCGGGGGCTCCGGCTGCTTCTTTCGTCGACGCCCCATCGCACAAAACGAGGAGCGTGAAAAACAGAAGCTTGAGCACCAAACTACGATGCACGACCCTTGCGCACCCTTGCAGTCTCCACTTGAAACCACCTTGCACAGACCTCGCGCACTCACTGCCTTGCAGCTTACGCCGTACTGACCTCGCGCACTCACTGCCTTGCAGCCTACACGAGGAACCGCCTTGCAAATCCTGACAAAACCCTAACCCTGAAACCTTGCACGCACACTCCCTCACGACACGCACTGCACTACCTTGCAGCCTCCGCAGGGAACCGCCTCGCAAATCCTGAAGAAACCCTAACCCTGAAACCTCGCAAGCACACTCACTCACTAAGGTCCACAGGGAGCACAGCACGCCAACGCAAGCCATGCACCACAAGCTCACAACACTTATCATCATCGACCCAGCGGTCCACGACGGCTGAGCCTCAGAATCTTTCTTGCCACTTCTGCTACCACAGCCAAAGCGGTCAAGCTCACAGCGTTCAAGAGACTCCAGAGCAGCACCCTCACAGACCGAAACGGCACTACCACCGTGCGTCCTCAAGCTCCTCAGCAGAAACTTAAAAGGCGTGTACTCTAGGCTCTTCACAGACTCCAAAGACCTTTGCTCCTGAGCTTTCTGGGCTTTCTGGGCTTTCGTGGCTTTCGGGGGTTTCGCGGTTTCAGGCTTTTCCGTGGCTTTCGGGGGTTTCGTGGTTTCAGGCTTTTCCGTTGCTTTCGGGGACGACGAGGGCTTCAAAGCATCAACCTCCATCTTATCCCCAGAATCCTTCAAAGCAGCAACCGCGTACCAAGCGCGATCCTTGACAGTCAACCGAATGCGTTTCTTGTTCTTCTTGTTGAAAATATGAGGTGTGTTGGTGAGCATGGTGTGCCATCCTCTCTGCCAAGCCACAAACGGTGACAAGACATTGAAATCTAGGTTCGTGATCAAGCAATGCTCTAGCACCACCACAAGCTTCCCAAAACGAACGCGAACGTCACACACCTTCAACACTTCAATCATGTCGTTGGAGGCATTCGACAGCGTGGGCTTAAAATCATAAGTGCGAAGGACTTCATACTTCTCGAAGCAGGAGACCGACATGCAATGAGAAGTAGCACCGCTATCCACTAGCCAGTAGCTATCTTGCGACTCAATGCCAACTAAGCACACTCTGTGCTCAACGGTCACTCGGTGCGCCGCAGCAGGCACCTCAGGTGTCGAAGGAGTCGTCCTCAAGACGCCACCGCGGGCATCAACCGGAATCAACTCGCCAGAAGCGCGAAGGGCCATCACAGTCTCTCCCTCCGGCTCCTCTTCTGCTTCGCCATCCGCTACAGCACGGGCGTGCTGCTTCTTGGTCTTCTTGTCCTTGCCCTTATCCTTGCCATGCTTGCCTTTGCCTTTCTCTTTGCCCTTTCCTTTGTCTTTGTCGCCCTGGCCTTTGCCCTTGGGCTTGTTGCTCTTGTCGCCTTTGCCCTGCTTCTTCTCATCTGCGATCCTCTGGCGGCACTCTTCTTGATAGTGCCCTTTCTTCTCGCAGTACCAGCAGACAATCTGGGACTTGTCCTTGGCACCGCCGGCTTTTCCTCCTTTCGCGCCTTTGCCGTCTTTCCCGCCTTTGTCTCCTTTGAGGCCACGCAAACCACCACTTGGCAGCTCCACCATGCGCAGCTGCTCCTCGTAAAAACGAAGACTCTCCGCCATCTCGGTCCAACTGCCAGTCTTGCCATGCAGCACCAAGTACTCTCTCGCTTGCACTGACACAGCTTGCAGCAAAATGGCCGATCTGTCGGCGGCGTTCAAGCAGAGGTCGGGAAAACGCACCAGCTTTTTATCTCCCTTGGAGATTTCGTCCTCGAGGAAACGCACAACTTCCAGAGGGCGCTTCAGCGCTGCAGTCTTTGTGTGGAGCTTTAGCATTTCGTCTCTGATATACACCGCCTCCATGCGGCTGTTCACAGAGTACTGCCGGTAAAGCTCTCTCACACCCTCATATCCTGCAGCTGCATTGCTCTGGCGTGTCGAAACACTCCGGAGGATCTCCAATCCTCTGTCCCACTTTGCCAAAGCTTGCTGCAACAGGTAAAAAAGACGTGCACTTCTTCCCGCAGTGTCACTGGGCAAAGTAACCTGCTGGATCTCACCAGCAACAAACAAGCACTGCCTTAGCTCGCCAACAAAGGCGTCATCGGTCAATGCTAGCCAGCTGGACAGCACTTCCAGAAAGCGGTGGAACTCCTCAAGCTCGCGGATCCGGCCTTGCTTCATCTCACCAGCATTGATGAGAGGCAGGGGTGGCAGATACTTCTCTGCACGACCACCAAAGCTCGAAAAGCTTCCAGAACTCGCAGCAGGCCCACTCGGAGGGGCAACAAGCGACCCAGTAGGCGCCGTCGGCACTGCTCCCGAACTGCTAGCAGCCACAGCAGCTGCAAAGGGGTCCGAAGACACCTTCCGCCGATCCTCGTCGGCTTTCCGTCTGGCTTCTTCCTCGTCCAAACGGCGGTTCAAGAGGGTCAACTGAGCACTCTGAGCTTGCATCAGAAAGTTCATCTGATTCTGCTGTTGCTGTAAAGCCGTGTTCTGGTTGTTCAGCATCTGCAACATCAACTGCTGCAGTTGTTCACCTCCCAACGCAGGGTTCGGAGGAACCGGACACTGAGCACTCGCAGGTGCAGCCGCTGCTGCTTGCTGAGCTGTCGGCGACCCAACAGGACTGTTCACAGGTCCTACAGGTCCCACGGGTCCTGGTCCAAACAGGTCGAAGTCCATGCCTTCCTCAGGCACAGGAACGTTCTGAGCAGGAGTCTCACTACTCCCACCTGGCAAGGGCGAGGCCATGGCGCTGTAAAGCTCCTTCTAAGTCCTCCGCTACCATGTGAAAAACAGAGCGCGCAGCACTCGGTCTTTTTCTTGAGCCAAAGCGGAGTCGCGTCGGGTCTGACTGACAGTGAAACACCTTGCAGCTGTCTGTCTCCAAGCAAAACACTTCAAGCACTAACGAAACGAGACGAAACGAACGTGCAGTCACTTCCTAACTCAAAAGCACTCCTCACAGCTTCAGGCATGCCGAAAACATCAGGACATCCAAGGTCAAATGGAATTTTCACACTAATGCATTTTTCCAGCCCTGAAAAACGATCTGGCTTGTCACGGATGCTTACGCACTTGTGGCCAGTGTCCAGGCACCAATCTAATTTCGATTTTTGACTTTACTTTCGTGGTCGTTATGCCGTCACAGATTTCTGCAAAGGTGTTAATGCAGGCACGACTTTTGACTTCGTGCCGATCGCTGCTTTGAGTTTATTCGCTGTTGTAAACGATCACTTTGACATGTGTCTCTCTTGTCTCTACGTCAATACTGTTTGGAGTCGCCGGAACTAATTTTTTTTTGGCTTGACCACACGGCTGTTGCACTCGGTCCCCACAAACAAGCAAACAACAAACAAAAAAAACACTACAAAGCAGAAAGACAAAAAGCGAAGCTGCGGCGCACAGGCTTTGCCGGTGTTAGCCGTTCCCTCAGCAACCGATCCGGAGCAACAAAAAGCCGTCGCTCTGAGCTGCACAGGTGGAGCCAAGACCAAGCTCCGGCAGCGTTCTGGTCTCGCCAGACAACGGACAGCCCCTGTGTCTTGTTCCGTCACGATCGTGCACACCAAAATCCAAAGATCCAATGCTCACAGAGGTGAGCGGCTTCCAGACATGATGCGGTGGCCAGAGTCGTGGCAACGCAAAGCCGGCCAGATGCGAACGCACCTCGAAGGACGAGACCAAACGATCCTCTGTGCAAAACAGTGGCGGCTTGGATGCAGAAGACCAACGGCCACCAATCGCTGCCCATAACGCGACGGCCGGGCAGGATGTAGACCGTGGGAGCAACTTGTTGTGGAACGCAGAGCAGCGCAAGCTATGAATTGCCCTGAAGGACCGGCAACGGGTCGGCGAGGCAAGCGGCGCCTGGAGGCTAGGCCAGGAACTTGACAGCCGATGTCACGTTAGTGATCCTTTTGCGCAGTCTGCCTGAAGAAGCGAAGAAGCATGTGTTGCATCACTCAGCTGCAGATACCTATCAGACCGCACGTCTTTTCTGCTTTGAAGTACGAACAGCAACAGCGATTTGAACTTTGGACATGGCAAGAAGCATGTGAGTGAGCTTTTTGATTTGACCAAAAGTGATGGTGATGATCAGCATGACAAAGCTTGATATGATAACGGTGATGATTGGTATCAGTGGGATGGCTCGTGGAGCATCGCCGCTGTGAATGATGAACGCTGTGATAGGTGTGGTAGAAAGCACAAGACTAGCTCTTTGCACGACGGACTTGAGTAAGGTCAAGTCAAGTGTTTTGCCTGTGACGAGTCTGGGCATGTGAGCCACAACTGTCCTAGAGGTCAGTCTAAAGGTAAAGGGAAGGCAGGAAAAGGAAAGGAGAAAGGAAAACTTGTGAAAGGAAAAGGAAAGGACAAAGGAAAGGAAAGGAAAGGACAAAGGGAAGGCTAAAGAAAGGTAAGATGTATGAGCTGGTTGAAGAGGCCAAGGAAGGCAATGAGGGAGGTACTGACGACGCGACTTGGGCCGACGATTCCTGGCATGAAGGCTGGGATCAGTGGGATGCCAGCACAGGTCATGAGGCCTGGGGTAGCGCGATCGTTGAGACTTCGAAGGAGACTAAGCCAGTTAAGAATCTACAGTTGAGTGCTGTGATCTTTTCGCCGTTGCTGGTAAATGAGATCCTGGAGGACCCACAGGACTGCGAGTGGTGGTTACTTGACAGTGGGGCTGGAGTTTCTGTGTTGAGTGAGAGTGCTGCTGCGTGGTTTGGGATAGATGTTGGTGAGCTCAGAAGCTCACGAGTGCAGCAGGGACAGCGGCCAACGGTAGTCCTGTGAAGATGCTTGCAGAAAGAACCATACGAGTTGAGATTTTTCTTGAGTTGTCCGATGGCACCAGTGATTGGCATGAAGCAAGCATGTATGTTTGGATTGGCGACACAAATCATAACATCATTTCCACTACCATGCTGTGTCACCGTGGTTGGACCTTTTCTCAATCGAGGGAGGGCATCCACCTTGCGTCTGCTTCAGGCGCGTGTGCTAAGGAGATCGTGCTTTTCTGCAATGTGCCCTGGGTGCGTTTGAGACCTGTGGTGCATCCGGAGTCGCCTGAGGGCGAGCTGTGTTTGGCGCCATTGACGCCTCAGGTCCCACTTGTGCCTGTGTCTCCACTCACCCGTTCGAGTGAAGCGGAGTTGGCCCTGCACCGGTTGCAAGGTCATACTCCATATCACCCTGGGTGCAAGCACTGCCAGGTGTCCAGAACGGTTTTTCAGCATAGGCGCCGTAGGCATGGTCGTCTTGAAACTGAGGTAGTTGCTGATTTCTTCTTTCTCTCGAGTACTGGCGAGGAGAGACGAGAGGTCAGATCGGACAATTTGCGTGTGCTTGTGATGGTGGAACGGATGTCGTCCATGATAGGAGCCATCGTCACGACTGACAACCTAGTTACCTAGTTGCTAGCAGGACCGATATTGTGAGGTGGCTTCGTGAGTTTGGGCTTGAGTCGGGCACATGTTCAATCCTCATGTTGACAGACGCAGAAGAAGCCGTGTCGGACTTGGTGGCCGGCGCCTCCGATGAGTTTGTGTTTCAGGTCAGGAAAGCAGGTCCTCAGTGTCACGAGTCGATTGGTGTTGCCGAGCGCGGGGTAAGGAAGATTAAAGAGTCATTGCAAACATTGCGTAGTGATTTGAATCATGAAGGCCTGGACATCTGCTTCAATCACGTCGGTTTCAGTGCTGCTCTTACGTATCTTTGCGGTAGCTTGAACAGGTTCTCGAAGGCTCATGGGTCGGACCTTGCACCATGTGACATGCCTATGCAGAGACCAACCCCCAAGGGCGCCTTCACTCTGTTTGGCGCTACGGTCTTAGCCGAGCTGCCGCAGTCGATAAAAGATCTGGGACCGAACCTACCCCGGTTCACGGAGGCTGCCTTCCTCTACCCGGTGTTAGGGTCCCAGGCCATTCGTGCTGCTGCGCTGATTCGACTTGAGGGCAAGTTGGAACTAAAGGTCTTTAACGCAAAATCTGTGAAGGTAACGGTTCCGCTAACTTGGCGGCTTGAGCTCGTGGAAGGAGTGATTGCTCCCATTGGTGGCGGACCCAGAGTCCCTCCTGTTCTTGAGCATCGTGAAGTGCTTGATCCTCCTGTGTCAGTCCGTGGGCCTGCATCGGGGCCGCCTGTTGATTGGCTTCGGCGTCATGGGTACACGGCTCGATGCCCAGCGTGCTCTAATCTTCAAGCTGGCCGACGGGCAGGTCAGAAGCACGGTCGGGCTTGCCAGCAGAGGTATGCTCGTTGGCTTCGGGAGTCGGTTGCTGGTGACGACGCTGCCGTTACAGAGGATAGGGCTCGAACTGTGGCCGCAGATCCGATTGCAGCTCCTGACCAATCTGGCCAGGAGATGGCCGTGGAACTTGGTGATCAGGGTGACGGTGCTCCGAGCGTTCCAGTGCATCGGGCCTTGACCGTTCAATGGAGCCGCAGGTTGTGCCTCAGAGGTCTCAGCCGGTTCTGCCCTCAAGTGCCCGTGTGAGCGTTAGTGATGTGCCTGTTGATACAGAAGGTCCTGATGCCGATGGCGTCCGTAGTGATGCCCAGCATGCAGGGTCGCATCGGGCATCGTCTGATTCTGGAGGCCTGGAGCCTGATTCAAAGAGGTTGCGTGCCAGTGAACCGTCGCGACCTTCGCTACTTAAGAGACCTAAGCCAGTTGAGAGCGACAGGAGCGAAGGCTCCACAGGGCTTCAGTTGGGATCTTCAGCTGGGCATGCCAGCTCTGGTGGTGGCTCCGGGTCACGAGGAGTGAAGCGCATGTCTGATGTTGAGGTTGTTGAGCTTGAGAACGAGATTCGTGATTCAGGCCCCAGCGTTCCGCGGCTGGTCGAGGGAATTATGTGGGCGTCTGACGCTCATGAGCCTGTCGTCTTGAATGAAGTTGTAACTCGTCCTGAGGTATTCGATGAAGGGATCAACAGCATCAGGTATGAGTCATCTTCTGGTAATGCCGCTAAGCCGAAGTTTGAGAGTGTTCCACTTGGGGGGACACGGGTGCACTTGTGGTGCCCTGACGGCGGCATTGATGATAGCACGCTTGAAGAGCTTCCGGGAGATTTAGTGTTTGCTGGCATGAAGGAGGAAATCTGCAATTTGGAGAATTGCCGCACAGGCCGCATTATCGGTTCTGAGGAAGTTGATGCGCTGAAGCGAAAACATCCGGGAATGCGTGTGATCCAATCCAGGTGGGTCTGCGCTCGTAAGAATGCTCAGCGAGTTCGCAGCAGGATCGTTGCAAAGGACATTGCCAACGGGTCGGCGCGCAAACAGGGTTTCAGTAGTCCCACTCCGAGTCTTGACTCGCTCCGTTAGAAGCTAAGGCTCCTGTCATTCTGAAGTTACCGTTGTCTGTGTCATTGTCTAATGGACTTCCTGCGTTTTTCTTCTTGTATTGCGCTTTGAATGGTCTTAGGGAAACTTCGTTGGCATGGTTACGGCTTCTGACTGGCCTTATACGGCCACTTGGACTTAACAGCTGTGAGCGCGAGCCGTGCTTATTCACTGGATGGGTGAGCACAAAGGCGCGTGGGACCGCGCATGGTGGGCGAGCCATCGTGATCGCCTATGTGGATGATCTGTTGATCATCACTGATGATGAGCTTGTTGAACAGGCCATCCTCGGTGCCATCTCGAAGCGGTTGCATGTAAAGATCACAGGAAGGATCTTCCCCTCGAGCACCGGAGGTGGGAGCCTCACCTTTCTCGGTAGATGCATCCGTAGATGGCCAAATTCTGCTGTGATTGAGTTGAGCATTGACAAGCAGTACTTGGAACCATGTTTTTGCGCCTACGGGATCACGAAGGGTTCACAAGCAGTGCCTGATGTTGCCAGTTTGCTTGAGAAATCCGGTCCAGAACTCACACCGGAAGCATATTCGCGCTTTAGGCGAGCATTGGGCCGGCTGTTATGGTATGCTCAGACGAGGCAGGATATTAAGTTGATGCTCACCTTGATTGCCACGCAACAGAGCAAACCTACTTCAGCCACTGAGTCTGCTTTGCGTGCTGTCCTTCGGTTCCTAAAGGGTGACGAGTACATAATCCATCAGATTCCCGCTGCGAGCTTGGATCCTGAGTATTTGAACTGCTCACGTGATGAGCTGCTCACGCGCGTGCATGTGTTCGCAGACGCTTCATATGCTCCATATCGCTTCCTTGAGCGGAGGGGCATCACTGGAGGAGCAATCACCTTTGCAGGGAGTGCTGTGAGATTGGTTGCCAAAACACAAAGCGTTGTCTGTTTGTCGTCCTGCGAGTCGGAGTTGCACGCCTTGCAATTCATGGCCCAAGAATGTGTCGCATTCATGTTCAGCGTGAACCGGGTATTGGCAAGCTTTGGCGAGGCATCTCTTCGGTATGATGTCCAATTGGACACTCGGGAGGATGAGGACTCCCATGATCCTGATCAGGAGTCTGTAGCTGAGCTCTTGACAGACTCACAGTCGGCAGTCGACCTCCTCAAGGGGGAAGATCTGCCTCGGCGGAGTCGACACATTGAGATCCGCATAGCGTGGCTCAGAGAGCACCTAAGGTTTGGCCGCATTCTGCTCAGGTGGCTGCGAGGTACTGTGAATCCAGCTGATCTTTTGACGAAGTGTTTGCCAACTAGAACACATGTGCTTCATCGTGAGCGCTTGGGATTCGTTGCCGAGACGGGACATGCAAGTGCCTTATTTGCCCTTGCTCAGCTACATGTACAACATGAGAATAAGACCGGAAGTTCTGTAGCTTTGCTGGAGGTCTGCTGTAGTGCCGACTCCGAGTTGTCGAGGGCATGCCGTGAGCTTCGGATTCCGTATGTTGGCATCACGGCGAATGCGGAAACGTCTCGTGTGTTTGAGCAAGCTGCTAGGTACGTCAGTGAGTGGAAGCTGAGTGGGCTTTGGGTTCATGTGCACACTTCCACGCCATGTGCACCTGGATCACCGCTGAAGCGGTTCAGTGAATCGAAGACCGAAGCCGACTTTGCGTGGGAGCCTCTTTGCAAGTACGCCTTGAAGTATCTGAAGCTTGGTGATGGTAGATCTTTTGAGCTGCCGTACCTTAACGAGCTTTGGAAACGACATGGAACACAGAAACTGTTGAAGGATGCTTGCTTGATTTTTCACGTGCAGGTGTACCTGTGTGCGACGGGCATGATGTCAAAGTCCGGCCTGCCGATTGGCAAGCAGTTGTGTTTTGCGTGCTCGCATGAGGTCTTCAGTCGAAAGCTGCGTGAGTTGTTTGGCACATGTCGTTGCAGTGCGCATGCCAGCTTTGCAGACACTGACTACACGTCAACAGGACACTACAACAAAGCATTGGCAAGAGGTATCATCAAAGCCCTGAGTACAGTTTAAAAGGGGGTGCAAGTGCAGCGGTTTTGCTCGCGCCTTGCGACATGTTTTGTTTTCACTTTCTTCGTTTTCTGATTCTAAGACGCCGGTAGTTGCGTGGCGAAGTCATGCGCGGAAGCTTGCACAGCGTTCAAAGCACTGATTTTCTTCTTGAGTTGAGTTGAGCCCAATCTTCTTTTGAAGCTATGGCCGTAATGACTGTGCTGGTGCTGCTGGTCGCTGTTATGGTGGTGTCTGTGAAAGAATCTGCAGCTACTAGAGCTGTCTCCACCTGGGACTTTGAAGCGATGGGGAGTGTCGGGAGTGTCATTCAGGGCGTTATGGGGCCGAGCTTCAGCACAGACCCCTTCTGGATTATGATGATGGCTATTTTCGCGAATGGTTTACTGCTGGGTTTGCTAGCGGCTACTTGGTTTTATTTGGTGGCTTCAAAGACTACGAGACATCATGATCGTCGTCACGGCTTCACTGCTGAGATGACTACTGGGGAACGTTTTGCACAGGATGATCCTGGAAAGACTTCGAAAAGAGAGTCCGGGAATATTCCGAAATCCAGCGCCGGTGAGCCGAGCGCCAATCCTACGAGTGCACCACGATTTGTCAATGATCATGGTGATGTGATTCTGGAAGGTTCAAAGGAGAACCAGTTCTGGAGGACGCGTCATCAACGACCTATTTTTATTTTCGGGGAGGATTCCGTTAAGTTCCATGGGAATGCCAATTGCAGCACTCAGCAGGGCATGGTTGGAAGAGAGCTTCTGCCGTGTGGATGCTGCAAGCCCGAGTTGGGACATGATGAGCTGGCTACCTTTGGTATGGGGGATCGTTACCATAGAACTGACTGCAAGCATGTCAGGGCCAAGGGTACGCGACCATCGTTCAGGTCACCGTGTGCTTCGTGCATGGTGCGACATCTGGAGTGAGAAAGCTGGTAAACGTGTTGGGTCATTTGGCATGGGCCGATGATCAAACATGTTATGCTGATCGCTACGAGATTGCCTGATCGAGTGAGTGTCTGAAGCTGTCATCCCGAAAGGGGTGTGGAAATATGTAACACTACCTGCGGTATGACAGCATAGAACCAGCTTTTGCAGTACATGAGGGCATGAGCTTTGGAACGGAGTTTTGTTTTCTCCAATCAATGTGCAGTTGTGGTGCATGTGAAGACATGAGCATGTTTTTGCCACGACGTGAGTTTTTAGCCTTGAAGAGTTTTGTCAGCGAGAAGAGTGTGATATGCAAGCATATCACTCGAGTTTGAAGCTGTGGGCCGCGTTTTGTCTGCATCAAGAATGCAGAGCTCAAGAGCTGTGAAGCAGCGAAGTGTGAAGCAACGAAGTAGGTCAGCAGTAGTGCAAGGACAGAGTCACGACACCTCTCTTGCTGTGAGTGTGCGAGCTGTGCTAGTGTTTGTAAGTTTCTACAGTCTGGATGTCTGTGCCAGCCGGCCGTTCTCCTTATGCGCTCAGGTGGCGTTTCGCCTTGAGGCCTTCTTGAGCCCCAGGCCGCGACGCCACTGGTCCCCATGACGACGCTGGGGGGCACCTGCCTTGGCCTGGCGCCACCAACCTCCGAAGAGGATGTTGCAGGGTTCTGGAGCAGGTGTACCATCGCTGCGGGACGGGCTATGCAGTGACAGCGAGCACGAGCGCTTTGGGCTGGTTTCCCCTCTCGGCATGGCCATCGGCCATCGGGCTGGGACTGAGTACAGAGATTAGCATTTTGAGTTTTGAGCATGTTGGCCAGAGCCTGTAGCGCGACTGGAATTCAAAGGATGCCCGTCACCCGTTGGCCATCGTGTGTAATCGAGCATTACCTGCCTCCCGCACTTGGGCCCAAGGTGGTAGGGACGCCAATTCTGGCGCTCCCTGTTCCCCTGTTGAGCCGGATGGCCAGTGCACTGCTAATGGCCGCGTCTGGCGCGCCGGCTGAGAACTCTGCCCTTCTGATGCTGGAAGATGTGCGCTCAGCCGGTCTATGCCTGCGCTCAGACCCGCCGGGCGCCTTGTTCTGCCGTTGGTTCAGCTTATAGGTACCGGGACATTGGCCAAACTCCGGCCCGTCCCGCTTCCGTTGGTGCGCTGTCCGGGCATTCTTTGCCACCAGGACTTCTTATGCTTTCTGGAGCCGCAGTTGGCGTGCCGGTGGACATGCTCCGAGTCACGGACACCGCGGGACGGGAACAGGTGCTGGATGACCCGCGGATGCACACGAACACCATTCTACCGACGTCACCTGGTTGCAAGATCAGCTACGGAGAGGCGACTTGTCCCTGGTTTGCTTTGCCCAAGAGCACGGCTGGCACCTGGATGGCCGCAATGCCCGGCTGCTTCCGATCTCAGATTGCCTCGACGATTTGTCAGGTTCTGTTCACGGCGAAGTGCTGGAGCACCGCATCCTTAGCAGTGTGGCGGACACGACTCTGGTGCGTTACCTCAGCGCTGTCCGGCTTTTCCTTGAAGCATTGGAATGCTTGGGGGTGCCGGTGTCGGATAAGGTCCGACAAGTGGATGTTGCTGACGCTTTGCTCGTCAGTCATAAAGGGGGCAGCCAAGTAGGCAACAGTCTTAAGGCAATCCGCTGGGCACGCAAGGCACTCGCTCTCTGCCTGCCGGACTTGTATTCAGGCATCATGTTGAACATCTCCGGAAAAATCGAGGCAGACCGCAGGGAAGCACTTCCGCTCCCCATGTTTGTCCTGGGACTTCTTGAAAGGAGCTTACTTTTGGCTGAGGGTTCAGTGCAGCATCGACTATTCATAGGAGCGGTTTTGGTCTGTTGTTGGAGCAGTCTTCGCCTCAGCGATGCTCAGCACACCAAATGGACTTCGCTTCAGTCCGGCTCCTGGTGCTTGCGGGGAGTGAACTTCCGCACTAAAGTTAGTCGCAGAGGGGTCCCGTTCGGTCTGCTTACACAGGGCATTTATGGTTTCAAGCGCGATTTCACAAGCACTTGGGTGGCCAAGTACCTCTCGCTGTTGGGTGAGGAATGGGATGCAGTGGTCAGACGATTTGGGGATGTGACGCCAGACTGTCTGTTCTTCAAAAGCACCGAATCTGAGTTTTCTCCCATATCGTACGGGGAAGTTCTGGCGGCACTCCGCTGCACCTTGATTTCTCTCGGTTTGAGTGCCGAGGAAGCGCGTGACTTCACTGTGCACAGCATGAAAGCATGTTTACTTGCCGTGATGGCCCAGAGAGGCTTCAGGACCTCGCGCCGTGAAGCGCAAGGACACCACCAACCTTCGGGTCGGAGTGCCCGACTTTATTCAAGGGACGATATTTGGCCGGCGCTAGAAGCTCAACGAGCCCTCGTGCAGGCACTTCGTTCGGGGTGGATGCCGAGTACGCCTCCGGGGCGTGGGGGACAACACCCTACTCCCCAACGCCCGATTTGTGTACTTGTTCACATCTGTTTTATAGTTTATGTGTGCGAACATTTTGGCTCACAGTATTAGTTGTGCTTGCTGGCGGTTTTTCGAATTAAAATCATGTTTCTATGAACAAATGTCCTACATTTTGTCAGGACTTACAACTTTCCAACGACTTTGGTTTCTTTCCAAACCCTCTCGGCCGTAGGGGGGGGAGCTTGCCCCACAAGTGGGCCTATGGAGATCGGTGCGGAGCCTGAAGTCGAACCGGCAGCCGCGAGTCCGATCTCTGAAGCCAACTCTGTTGCGTCAGTTGCCTCCAGTGCGTCAAGTGCCATTTCGATAGAGAGTTTCTTTCAGTCAGCGCGTCCAGATTGCTTCTTTAGAGTTTGGGGTTTCTTGGAGCCCTCCGACAGGGTTCGGCTCTTGGGGGCAAGCTGGTTCCTTTGCACTTGGAATCGCAGAACATTGATCCGTGCGGCTGTCCTTTACGGGTGCCGTGAGGACGATTAAACATGAAACGGCCTTTAGATCCAGACGATAGGAAGCAGCCGTGTCCCGCCGATGCCAGCATTGCTTGCAAAGCCTCTCTGACTGTCAGCGTAAAACCCAAAGCTGCCCCTGCATCTCTTCCGCTTCAAGTGCCCCTTCCCAAACCGGGTAGGAAAGCTCCAGCTCTGCCATTGAAAGGTTTGGAAGCGGTGCCTGATCGGGCTTCATCTGTTCAGCCGGAGCCGATGCCGGCCGGGCACCCGTTGTCGGTGCCTTCAATGCAAAGCGTGAATTTTGGCACTTCGGCGAGTTCGGATGCACTCTCGAGCTTAGCTCCTCCAACTCCGGGTTCCTCTAGGCTTAAGCCCTCTGTAATGCCTTCCGAACGCCCCAACAACCCAAAAATCAGTGAGAATGCCTCTCGCAGCAAAGTGGCACGTGCAGCTTTTATGGCATTATTTTCTGTTCTTGGCAACTTGAGCGCTCTGGGTGCATCTTTGCAAGAAAGCAGTCAGGACCACGTGGGTCGCATCCTTCAGATGTTTGTAGCAGCCACTGTCATACGGTACAGCTCGGCCTTCAGATCCCTTGCAGACACCATTTTGGATTTGGGATTTGCTTTGGAAACATTGACATCGGTCCAGCTTGCAGATGCTCTTGTCGTCTTAAGCTTAGCGCGCAGCAGTGACCCGGAGTCGGGAACACACTCAGCGACCGCAATCAAGGCCATCAGGTGGGTTAAACGTATTTTCGAAGTCGCATGCTTTGATGTCGCGTACTCACCCTTGATTGGCAGTTTCCTGAAATCCAAGATTCCCCGTGAACGTAAAGAGGCGGTGCCCTTGTCTCTTTATGTCGTCACACAGTTTGAGCGACGCTTGCTGATGCAAGAAGCTACGGATGCCGAGGTCCTCATCCTTGGGGGGTTTTTAATCTTGATTTGGGGTTCCATTAGGTTTATGGACGGACAAAGAGTTCACTGGCGATCCCTGTCCTATGACGGCTCTACACTGAGGGGCTCGTGTTATCAAACAAAAACAACATCCCAAGGACAACCATTTGGGGTCATTTGCCAAGGACTGCTTAGTCATGGTTCCTTCACTTGGGTGCATAGATTTCTTCGGACTTTGGACAAGGTGGC